TTAATTGGGATATACTGAACGCAGTGTTCAACTGGAAAATGAAGTTTGGAAATTTGCTTCAATTTGTTCAATTTCATGCCACGGGTTGAAGACGGTGTGAAACTCGGATGGTCACGTGATATACATTTTAGCTTTACAATTACGACAGGGATATGAATATTTTCATCACGTGTGTAATAAAATAGTTATATTAACAATTATACTGTCTGATGGCAGAGATAATTAAGAAGAATATCCACTCATGTGTACTAATTTCATTACTCAATTTTAATATTTTCATCATAGCAACAGTGATGGCACATCTAAGTATTCAGGATGATATCAGACAACATATCACGCATTCAACGGTAACTTAATGCATACTAAATGCATTTATTGAAGAAAAAAGGAAATGAACAACGACAATCTAAATTCAATTGTTAAAACACGTTTTCTATGTACAACACATTCCCGTCGTAGTATATCCACATATTGGTTTAGGTAATATGCCGTATTAATTCTGGCGATAATAATGCTCCTTATTCCAAGTAATGAAAACATTTTACGACTTTAATAGCACTTGTATTAGTTGTTAGTTGCATAATGTATTTTTCGATTTCACACAACAGATAACAAAAAAAATATACTTTAAGAAATCAACAATAACGACAGCGTGAAACCTCCTCCTCGCCGATCCCGTCACACCGCGTATGAGCTCATTTTGTTTCGCAATTAACATTTCATCATCAAAAATTCTGAAAAAAAAGAATTTTCCAAGGTTTTTTTAACTGAACTAAATATTTTGTTCTCGACATAGAAGACAGTGTGAAGCTCGGGCGGTCACGTGATATACGTTTTACGGTAGAGAAATAAAATGTTCACCATGTATGTAATAAACTATTTATATTAACAATTATGCCTGATGGCTATTGTATTGTATTGTAGGGATAATTAATTAGAATCTCCAATCATGTGTATTTCGTTATATAGATTGTCACTTCATCGATTTCGTTACTCAAACATTTGCTTGCACATCCAATGCGAAAATATTCAAGATGATATCAGACAGCATGTCCCGTATTCAACGGTAACTTAATACATACTAAATGCATTCATTGAAGAAAAAATGGAAATGAACAATGACAATGTAAATTCAATTGTTAAAACACATTCTCAGACAATATGTCCCGTATTCAACAATAATTT